TAGAAAATATATATGCTACCATGACGAAAGAATACAGAGTAAAAATAACTCGCAATTCTCCAAAAGAGATTTCAAATCACGATAACATATCTCATATAAAGAGAGGTGGTAATGATTTAATCTCTTTATTGTGCCCTTCTTCGTGAGCCCTTCTTCTATTCAGCAAACAGCCCAAAACCGAAACTCCACAACATATCCGAATACACTGATTCAGGCTGTCCCAGTTCTCCATGCGATACTGACGCCCGTTCGTCTCCTAGACCATACAGAATGAATTTAAAAGGAATCCAGCTCAAGTCCAGAACGATTTGGCAAGCCTAGATTGCCTCAATTCTATCAATGAAAGTAAGCATTAATAAAAGGATATTGTTCTTGTCTGCTTCAGATTATATTTTGTAGATACATATTTTAACTAGGAAAATTGTACTGACGCCGGCGCTGTCCCAATTGAAGCTATCTATAAGAATTTCGAATTGACGTCCATTGTTCGATGTCAATACATCGATGACAAGTGAGGATATCTTAAAGTAATCGTTGATGCCGCGCTACACTATGATAAAAAGTATCATCAAGTTGACTGTTGTGTACATTACTACAGTGAACATATACATGATCATGCCCTAATAATCAAATGCAGTAATGTCAAATACTAAAAAATGGAGCCTAGAACAAATCTTGATTTCAGGCTAGAGCCGTGGAAATCTAGACTTTCCCAAACATTATAGACTTGGGTTGGTCTCATTTTTTACATTATTCTCTTTGGTCAACGTCACAGCTCATACCATACACTAACAAGACCAGTTTGGCCCCCGCCGGAGCTTCTGGATTTTGGTTATATCATCTAACATGGCCAACTCTGCTCTTAAGTAAACAAGAACCTAATCAGCGAGAGGTCCTTTATCATCCCTATGTGACTGCTTATAAAAATCTGATATCTCTTCCTAAAGACCTGGTTAATAATATATTTTCTGCTGAATATTCGACACAGAGTGAGTGAGTTGGTACTACATGTATGCGGTTCTATTTAAATTGACTGCAGCGTTCCATTATGAAAACAAATTGTTTTAAAGCCGCTCTCAGCAGTATTCCAGTGATATATGACGGCAGTCTGTTGTACATAAAGTAATTGCAAATTAAATCTTGAATCTTGAAAGTTGTAACATTTCCGCAAATAAGTGTCACATGCAGCATACAGTATATCAACTGCAATATACTGTATACAACATTCAGTATACAGTGTGTCGCGAGCTCTGCGCTGGGCTGGAGCACACATTTTTCTTTCGGCAACACATCATGAGGGTTGCAACGGGGTCACAGGTCAGGCGTGCGCTCGTCAGTTGTCTAATACGGTCAAGAGTAAGATCTTCCGGAAGACAACTGCACTAGAGGTATGTGGATTGTTGATGATTTACTACGTGTTTGGAACTGGGAGTCGAACACTAAGCACTTTTAGAGAAGAGCTCACAATATAACGTTATGGACTCGCGGACGGACTTCTGTATTCATTTCAAGACGTACATGTATCAGGTTGAACTTCTAAGACAGATGTAACTTGGTTACGGCTTCCTAACTAAAACATTAACTGAACGTTACGCCTTTTATACACATTTGTGATGGGGCGACAATGCGACAACGAGACATATTTTGACCAATTGATTTGAATAGAATAAACTTGCGTCAGTGTATTTTATTAACGCCCAAAACCGTATTTGTTAAGCATATATAATAACAGATCATATACACGCATGGTGCCTTGACTTACTACTAGCTTTTATAGGCCATCCCGGAATAAAATAGTTCCCCCAAAGCGAGGAACATATGTTTTAGTATGTTTACAAGAAATATATTCCAAACAACATCCTCATTAGATGAGAAGATCTTTTACAGAATTACCTCAGTAAGTCAATTCCAATGACAGAGCGTCGTAAAACATTTACATCAAGTACAACACGTCAAAATGGCCGACACGCTAAACGTGATGGGAGATATTTCCGAAGTTGTTAATTAACCGGTGGCTATTTCAAGCGTTGTCATCACTGATTAATTGGCCGATTGTTGAAAGGTGATTGTAAAGATGTGTCAAATAGATACTAAGGTAAATTCATAGATTGCTGCGATAGTTTTTTTTCTCTGGGATGGGTTGTAGCGAGGGTATCCTTAAACGGGCATGCAACCACGCTTCTGTATAAATTCGTACCAGGGAATTCCAAGGGTTTTCCCCATGAATGTGGAAGAAGTCAGTGTTTACGCCATTTCAAGAATACAGTCACGTGAAGAACGTCATGTGACCGACCTCTCGTCCAATCCGTTTATCTTGTAAACTTCACATTAAAAAAACAGTTATTCTTATAACCAAATTTAACACAAACTATTATCCGATAGGGGTAACTGTTCATAGCCGAGGGATATGTTACCACAATAAACTTGGTAACATTGTTTGGTTTGACTTCTTGGCGCGTGTCTGAATTCAATTAACATGTTACATATTCTAAAACTGGCTTATCAACAAATCTTGCTGCACTGCGCGCGACAGATACTAGAGCAAGGCATGCCAGAATTACGAAACCTAAAGCTTCCGAAAGGAAGCCTTATGAATCACGTGCGTCGGGGGACCAGCGCCATCTGATTGGCCGTTAACAGTTGTTCAAGGCGGAGCAAAAAGCATCGTTTTCCCGTCCATTTTACGCTTGAAAAAACTCGACCCTTTTCTTGACACTTTCTAGACGCTTACCAATTAATCAGTTTTAATGAATTTTTAGTCGTTCATCCGTCCAATGACCATATACGTAAAAAAACCGACGTATTCGTGTTTGCAGTGTAAGTTGATCGATGTCACTGGACGTTTTGGTTCAGAAATGATTATTCACACACTGCCTTCCTTTATCTGGAGACCCGTGAAGATTCCAGTGCAGAATAGCTCTTCAGCAACCCATACTTGCCGTAAAATGTGACTATGCTTGTCGTAAAGGCAACTAACGGGACAGGGTGGTCAGGCTCGCAGACTTGGTTGATGCATGTCACCAATCCCAATTGCGTGGATCGATGCTCATGATATTAATCACTGGATCGTCTGGTCCAGACTCGATTATTTAGAGACCGCTGTCAAATAGTTGGAATATTCTGAGTGTGGCGTTAAACAACAAACCAACAAACCAACTATCCTATAGCTGGAATATTGCTCAGTGCAGTGTTAAACAGAAAACAAATACAAGTCACCTCGTTGTAATGAAGGCCGGGAGTCAAACACTACCACGCCTTAAGCAGCAATAGCCATGACACCACAGTGTAATTTTATTTCCAATAAAGAACGGCAGAAACGATGAAATATACATGTAAACACCTTTGCACAGTAAATCTCACAGGCAATATAATGTGTAAAGAACATCCTGTCCCCGTGTTTTCAGAATTTCCAAACCCAATTTGAGCTGTTTATGTTTTGATAATGTTATCTGACATTAAGGCATAAGAAAATAACCAAACAACTTTATTTACGCCGCCTCTGTTTGTTAATTATGTATCTACCACCTTTTGTCCTCACCTGGTTAATGCCTGGAAATATCTATATTTACGTTTATAATCTGTCCCATGCATCGGTAACTTCTACGAGAAAGTGCCAAAGTTCACGCACACTCATTTTAGCTTCATTAGAGGATAGAAACTAGTCACGACTGCTGTCAGTGGTCAGTTGTAATCACAAAGGCATCCGGTCATTAGAAAAACAAGCAAAATGCATTGGCCAGCGTCAAATACAAAATACAAAGGTGATTAGCTGATGTCAGCGATAATAATATATATTCACCCAGCAGTGACAGTGGTCAAGCTTCCGATATGGGCTAAGCAAGGAATTAAGGGACGATCAGCGATCCTCACATGAAAGCTTGTCTTGACGTGATGAAGATAGGTGTGCGACAGAAAGTGTGAGACATTAGGCACACGCGCTCTTGACCCACTTGTCCAATGCTGTAAGACCCTATACAATGCGAGACCAGTCTCGCCGTTTGTGGAACTTTACACCCCAGTGTAGCATCTAAATACTAGTAAATCAACTTCCTGACTGCTTAGATTAAATTGCACAACATGCCTGACGACTTGTCACTGTCCAAATACAATGCAATGAGTTTCTACCGAATCTCAACAAAAACAATGTAACTCGGTTACAATCTTTGGTAACCAATAAAATACACTGAAATATAAACACACTGAATTTTTGAAGATTCCAAAATAATGTTCAATCAAACAGTCAGTTTTACATCACATTCAATCAAGTTCACATACATTCAGCTTGACGTGTCTCCTGGCGGTAATGAAGGCAGGGAATCACAGTACACAGGATGTTATAAGTCCTTTTACGCGGGCTTCAGTGACACCGTTTTCTAGAGCTGGAATTGAAATTCCACAATAGGCCACCCTGACTGATTAAATATGGACACAAACTGAATGTCGAACATTTTCGAATAAACTCAAACAAATTTATAATCTCATCTAACGACTTTGTATAAAACAAAAGTAGCATAATACTTTAAATTAAAGGTTATATTTAGTTAACATTTGAAGTTTGAAATTGCTAACTGAAACAATTCGATAGTTTACAAGTAGTTCTGTCGTATATATATATATATATATATATATACTACTGGGGTATTCCTTTTTGTCCATGGGTTGCACCCTACTCGGCCATGAGTCCCTGATATGTTTCTGGGTATGTGAAAGATCGACATGATATCTCCTTAACACAACAAGGCATCTGTCCTTTTTTGTCCCATCTCCACGGTATATCAGTGCAGTCAGTTACACTGGTTGATGAGGCTCGATACTTAGTGACAGAGAGTTAAATGTAAGAGGGATAGATGTGTATGTGAAAAGTTGCTTATGTCTAAGATCGCATCACTTCTCACGCCATGCTATAACAGAAATGCTTGTCTGTCTGTTGACATTCCACCCTGATGAACGATGATTGCATAGGCAGGTGCTGCAGGCATTATTTGGTGAACATGTTCAAATCACATTTCACACACAAACCAGTGTAATTTACTGCAGTCACGATCGTTCCATGCAGACCCAAACATCTGTAAAAGGATCAGGACACACTCCTCGTCCTTCGATCGATATGTAAAGCTGGGCTCCCCTTTGTCCCAGTTCGTGTACGTCGGGACGGAACCGTCAGTCCATCTGTAGACGTTTGACCTGGTTGAGTCCCGCAGTCCAATCCAGGGATACTCTGAAACACAAACTGGAGGGGATGAGGGGAGAGTGAGACGGAGGGTTGTGTGAGTGGCGGAATGATGTGAAGACGCGACAGTATCGATATTTTGTTTTTTTCTGGAGGTTATGCCTAGAGGATGGATGTGACTGACGGAGGTTTGTGACTTATTTGTTGGTGTGATTGACGGGAGGGCATGATTAAACTTAATGTTTTGTGTAAATCACGAGAGGGTGTGACTGACGAAAGAGTGTGATTGACCAGAATGGCTGAGTTATTGGTTGGTGTGACTGACGCGACTGTATGACTGACGGGAGAATATGCTTTACAGATGGTGGTGATAGAACTGTTTGTAACTTATGTTACTGTGTAACTGATGGGAGGGGGCAGACGAGGGTAATGACGGACTAAAGGCTGTGATTGATTAGTTCGTGTGACTGACACATCTTTTGTTCCAGCCATATTCCAGCTATATGACGGCGATCTGTAAATAATCGAATCTTGTCCCCTGACACTCTAGTGATTGACATCATAAGCATCGATCTATGCAGTTGGTATACGATGATATGCATTAACCAAATCAGCGAGCCGTACCACCCGACTCTTACGACAAGCATAGTCGCCTTTTATGGCAAGAATGGGTTGCTTAGACTTTGATATTGTTGGGTTTTAGTCTATCACATGTTGACCTGTTGAAATCAGAAGCTCTGCTGCCAGTGTCACTTACCTTTCTTTTTAAAGCTGAAGTTGAACAACCCTCCGACGATGTCCTGTTTCTCCGCGGTGTCTATCTTGACCAGTGTGGCGCCGTCAGACCTGCACATCTCTAAGGCTCCGTCCCATGTACGTCCCACATTGTATCTCTTCAGATGGATCTCGCCCCCCCTCAACTTGGAAAGTCGTGTATTTCTTTTCTTCAGCTGAATGTTGAACATGAAACTCACTCACATAACGAAACAGTAATAGGCCAACTGACTGTAAATATATACTCAACAATAAAAGTTCCCGTGACACCAATATTTTAGGGCATTTTTCAAACAATAAAAGTTTGGTTTTCATTTATTGTAGTACATGAATGGAATCAAGTCACAAAAACGGAACCGCACAGAAAAGCATGCATTCCATGCAAAAGATGACTTTTGTGCAAACCCCATGTATTTCACTACCAAAGAATGGGTATAAAAACGTGTGTTAACGGGATTTCATATGCATTGTTTAGCATCTCGCAGACAACAACCACTCCGAAAAACAACAAAATCACACAATTATCCAACATTACGAAATGCCAAGCCTGTCCGAAAATGAGCGTCTGTGAGCTATTGGTTTGCTTGAAGCAGGATTGGGTCAACGCGATGTTGCAAGACAAATTAACGTCCACAGAAACACCATTGTCTATGACAACGTTGGCAACAGGCGAATGCAGTCAGAGACCATCAAAAGAGTGGCAGGCCACGCGTAAGCAATAATCGATGAAAAAACCGGCCCTGTTGTTCTATCGTTTTTGCGTTCTCATGGCCCAGGCATTACCTTTCAACATGAGAACACCCGGCCTCATATTGCTCGACTTGTTCAGGATTCTCTTCAACAAAACAACTTGAATGTCATCCCCTGGCCGGCTCGCTCTACTGATCTCTCATTAATCGAGCAAATGTGGGATGAGATGCATCAGCGCCTTCGACGTCAACCACGTGTTCCGCAGCAACTCCAGGAACTTTGAAACGTGCTCCAGCAGATATGGACAGATATCCTAACGGGTCTTTGGCCTGAGAAGCTTAACCACAAGGCTACCCCACCCCTATGGAACTCTGAACTAGGCATACGAGTTGTTACGATGTAAATTGTAATACTTGCATCAACTTGTCTACATTTTGACGTAAATTGTAATAACAACGTAAATTGTAATCAAATTTGACGTAAATTGTAATACGCAAATTGCAATAAAAATTGTAATAATCTCAACTTGTGGTAAAATGTAATAACTTTTTACCTAAATTGTAATAACCTTAAAAGTTTAGTGTCAAAGGCGTTAAATGACTAGAACCTATCCTTGTCAGGGTTGGTACAGGGTTTATCGTACAATTGTCATTAAAGTATTGGTGTGGGGGAGGATTGAGGTCGTTATCGTACATTGTATAATTATATGTATATATGAATTTCATTTCTATGGTTGTCCATTAGAGGAGTAATTACTAGAATGAACTTAGTTTTCTTATTTATTTGAAAAATATACTCTGTGTGTTTATACTTAATTGTAATATATCCTGTTGACGCTTTTCATCATAAGTGTTCATATTTAACCTAATGGAATCATATTTCAATTGGTAGAGTAGGTAATAATATACACAATGGAATAATTATAATGTAACAAACTTTCACAAATATGTGTAAATGTGGAAAGTCTGACTTTTACTGACTGAAGCAAATTTATTTACTTTGCAGCTGTATATTTGTACATATTTTATGCAGAGAGGGGTTTACTTAGTTGCAAGAACTTGTCCCCAATACAATTCTCATTTTGTTCTGTGAATAAAATATGTTTAAACTAAACTGAACTAGGAAATGGATGACATGTCATTCTGCAGTAGTCTGTGTGCAAGCTGATTTATACATGTTCATATACATAATATCAATTATTGCTGAAATATATCTGTTTTGATCAACATTGAAAGGATGGAAAAATGTTAATGAAAAGGGTTTTGTCACTAACGTAAATATTCTCTTTGACCTTTTACGAAGAGTATTCTAAGAAAATTAAACTCGGCAATCGTTGGTGGAGTATGTTATTACAGTGCTTGATGTTAGCCCAAATTACTTTAATACTCTTAATCTTTCAGAGGATGTTATGTTTTCAGGGGATAATTGTACGTATATATTTCGTATCAAGGTCTCTTGGGGCAATCCACAAACGATTGTCGAGTTTAATGATCTTCAAGTACGTTTCCAGATCAAAGAGAAAATTTACTTTATTGACAAACATATTTTCATTATAAATGTTCATTTCCTTTCTATTTGGATACAAGCAGATTTATTTCAGCAATTGATTGCAAGAACTTTATTGTATTTCGTATACTCTTTGAAACTGTACAATAGTTACCCGAAGATACCGGATGTTATTTGTGTATGCACGGGATCTGTCAACTCATTTGTTGTATTTGAATTCTTCGTAAAAAGAAATGAATTATTGCATAAATTAGATTAATTCCCTCGTTTGTTTCAAGAAAAGGACCATGTACTCCTTATCAATTCGTATAGCGTTTCCACTGCAAATTGACACACTCGTTGACAAGCCTGTGTTTGTACCCTTCGTCATCACTCGTTCAGTCGCATCGAACTGGTCAACGTACTGTTTAAGCAAGTCATACAAAAAACATCTTCAATAGCCTTATAAGAGTATTGAACAATATGTCACAAGTAAGTTATTTGTCGAATATACGGTTGTGTAACCCATCATTTTGAACCCGATGATGGATCTATCAGTCATTTAAGTTTATTGATGTTGACACCACTCTTTAATGATGATAAAGCCTATACCAACCATCCCTTACTTAACAGTTTTGTACGTTTGCCATCATACACAGTACTTCTCGAATTCTACATGTGAAAAGCAAGCTCAACTGAAAAATATCATTTCTAGTCAATTGGCGTCTTGGACACTATGGTAGTAAGGTTATTACAATTTACGTAAGAATTTATTACATTTTATCGCAAGTAGAGATTATTACATTTTACGTCAATTTTTATTACAATTTGTTTATTAGAATTTATGTCAAATATTATATCAATTTACGTTGGCATTGCAATTTACGTCAAAATTATTACAATTTGCTGCAAGTATTACAATTTACCCTTATATTACAATTTTAATCGTAACAACCCGTTTGCCTAGTTCAGAGTTCCATAGGGGTGGGGTAGCCTTGTGGTCAAGCGTGTCAGGCCAAAGATCCGGTTCAATTCCCCGAAGGCATACAATGTGTACGTCGTAACACGGTTGTATGCCATCAGTAAAGAGACGTATTTCCACACCCTAGGTTTACATTGTACCCAACTCATCATTAATTTTCATGGTGTAAACGGCATGGGGAACGAGAGCTAGAATAGATCATCAGAAACCTATGAAGGTCGTGAGCGGCTTCATAATGGATCGGGTGGTTAACTTTCGATCCGCATTTCAGACACCCTTACACATTAGCATCAATTGGTTGGGAATACCCATTGGACATTATGTAACTGAAATGAGTACAGTGAAATGAGATTCCACTTACTGTACGAAATTGCATATCGACATGCATCATCTGAGACTCGGCCCACTGACACTGGACTCCCGTCTGTCACACCGAAATGGCCGTACATGGTACAGTGGGAGGTGGTTCGCTTGTACTCCAGGGCGAGACATCCGGGAAGAACACTGCATTCTACATTGCATTTCAGGAGAGATACAGCTCTAACTTCGTGTAAAGCCGTTAGTTTATCATCAAAAGTTTTGTCAATTTTCTTAAACCTTCTTCCAACTACTTTTGCTTCTTGTGGTGAGGCCCCTAGTAGTATTAAAACAGGCACAGCCACTGAGAACATAGTGCACATAATATGTTTCTCTTGAAGCAGCGTCAGACAGACTGAGTGTCACGTTTGTTCAATATATATGACGAACGCAACCTACAGTACTGCTCAAAACTAATCGTCCCGCGATTATGATATGATGCTAGTAAGACTTTCTTCACATATTCACACACACATACACACGCACGCACGCACGCACACACACACACAAACACGACACACACATTAACACAAACACAACATACATACAGAGTTACATACATATATATACACACACACATAAGCACACACACAGATACAAACATACAAATATACACACATATACACACAAATAGACAGATACATACCAGGATCATGGTTTTCTGAATAGATTCATGCATGTCATTGTATTCCAATTTCGTAGATAGGTGCTCATAATATCAATCACTGGATAATTTGGTCCAGACTCGATTATACATAGTTCTAGAAGTGGAGTATTATAAGACAAAACGTCGTCTATTGTTCCCAAAGTATTAATAATGCAACTGAAACGGGTGAAACTGTTACTGTCATAATGGATCGAACCTTTTTCTTGCATATCTTTAGTGACATACTCCATTAGATGGCATAGTTTATGGCACACATATATATTAACATAATTCAGTAAGTGGGACGATTAGGCTGAAAACTATATCAGCTTCAAATGTCAGTACATCAACTCAAAGGAACACAAAACGTATCAGCCCTACCGGTTACAAGTATCGACACTATATATTGCATTTATTTTTTGCTGGATTATTGATGGGTATATTATCTTGCATACGTGATATATCCGATCATTTTATTTTCGGTTATAAGTTCTTATGTATAACACATATATCAAAAACCTTTGGAAGCGAATGGTTAGTCCCCGACGAAGGAAAGTCCTAGTTCATAGCCTCTGCTTCTCTATTGATACACAAGACTGATGTAAGAATGTTTAATTGCATAAAAAAAAACATTTTGCGTTTCAATCTCCAGTGTGAACACTATTAAGAGGCAGGTGCGGCAAGTTGTAAATGAAACTGTATTGAAAATTACATGTCCGTTCCTTTATATTTTTGTGTGTGGTTATTCTGGTAGGGGAAAAGCCCATTTCTTGAAATGCCAGTATGGTGAATTGTCCGAGTGGGGAAATATCTTCCACTCGTGATCAACACATTATATTTAGCAAAGACATCTACATAATGGATGAACAAAAACTAACTTGTTTTCTATCGATACCGGAGATCTACACAGGTATACTGAT